TGTGTGCTGATTGGCCACAGATTAAAAACCACTGCTCTAATATGAATATGAATTGCACTTAACTCTTAAGCTTGCAAAAACAACAAACAGCTTGGGCCGAATACCAATTAAGAAAAAACAAGTTGTCTAACACCTTTACCTTGACTGGTTTAGTACAGATTCATGAACATTTCTTGTTCGCTAACATGTAACTTTTCCACTAAGACATGATGAAGAACTGCTAGACAAACCCTTCATCTACAACTTTCCCTGCCTGTACTCTTTCTTACTCCCATTCCTGAGTTTGTGATCTACCTTCTAAGTGAGACAGGCCAAACCCTCCTCAAAGCCAGCTGGCAGCAATTGTCTGTATTTTACATTGCCACCTATCTTTTTACCTGACTTTTATATCTGGGACCAGATTCCCCAAGGATCTGTTTTAATCCTTACTGATCTTAATACTCTTGCCTTAGAGCATCTGCTGGAAATTCCCATACATTACTCCTGGGGGAATTTTGTGTCACTGCGCGTGCTCAGAATTCATGGCTCCTGCAGATTTCTTTGCTTACCTACATAAAAGTGACTTCTGACCGGGAAGCAAAGGGAAGCCGCAAGAGCGATCATGTGCCCACACCCTGGCAATGCAGACAGGTTGGTTTGGGCACTCAGAGCAGCTGGTAGAAATGTAAGTCACCAAGGGGGGGAGGGGAGCAGGGTAGTCATGTGAGAGACACACACACACTGTCCCTCTCGCTCACTATTGCAGCACTCTTGGCATGGAGGGGCAGGGCTTTGGGGTATTTCTGAGGAGGTAGAGCAGGCTCTGTTCCCTCTGGCAGAGGAAAACGTAGCTTAGTGAATTGTTCCCATTGTTCTTAGTGAATTCCCCCAGGAGTATAAAACAGGTGTAAAAATGTTAAGGTTCCTTTACATTGCCAGAGTGGTGTAAAGGAGCCTTATTACAAAGGACAGTACGGCCTTATAAATGCTTATGGTGCTTTAGTGATTAGAACTGGTCTAGATTTTTGGACTGAAAAAATTTCCTATCAAAATGTGCTCCATGAACTCTTTGCTACTGACCTTTTTGGAGATGGTCAGTAGCCAGTATAAATTGTGAGTTTGAGTCCCCAGCCCTCATCTGCTCTTCAGTTGCCTATGATGTAACACTGAGCATATGGCTGTATACATTTGTTGACTAATAATTAGGGCTGTCAATTGCGGTTAACTCACACGATTAACACAAAAAAATTAATCACCATTAAAAAAGTAATCGTGATTAATTGCACTTAGAACAATAGAATACCAACTGAAATTTATTAAATATTTTTAGATGTTTTTCTACATTTTCAATATTGATTTCAATTACAACACAGACTACAAAGTGCACAGTGCTCACTTTATATAATTTTTTATTACAAATATGTGCTCTGTAAAAATGATAAACAAAAGAAATAGTATTTTTCCATTCTTCTCATACAAGTACTGAAGTGCAATCGCTTTATCGTGAAAGTGTAACTTACAAATTTTTTGGGGGTTACATAACTGCACTCAAAAACAAAACCGTGTAAAACTTAAAAGCCTACAAGTCCACTCAGTCCTACTTCTTATTCTGCCAATCGCTAAGACAAATAAGTTTGTTTATATTGGGGAATAAATGGTATTCTGTTGTTTAACAGCACGATTAATCATGATTAATTTTTTAATTGCTTGACAGCCCTACTAATAATTAGAAGTAAAGGGTCAGTACTAACTACATTACTATTAGACAGAGGGGGTTTGATGATTTCCTCCAATGCTCCCCACTCCCATTCTCCATCCATTGTATTGTAGTTTAAATAAATTACCAAAATAATTGAAACTAGCTGGATTATATTTTGACAAAGAATATGCAGAATTTTAAAATATTGTGCACAGAATTTTTAATTTTTTGGTGCAGAATTTCCCCAGGAGTAATACATACAATACTTCAATTAACTTCTCAATGCTATTCTAATGATTAGAGCCCTGCAAATCCGTGGATATCCACTTTATACCCACAGATCATTTTTGCAGATTGCAGATCGGATGCAGATACAAATTTTGTATCCACGCAGGGCTCTACTAATGATGGACAGGTACCCACAGAAATTCTGTTCAGATTGCTGCACTTGACTGTTCCAGCTTATAAAGGCAACAAAGAGTATCATGGTGCCAGTAATGGGTTCAGACCTTATCAGATATGGGGGACTTTATTCTTCCCCTTAGAAAAAGTGGTTCTTTTCTTGGGGAAATGAGTATTTAAGTTAAACCAGAGACCTTTTGTTTTTAAAGAATAAGGAAATATATGCATGTGTGGAAACAGGAACAGTTCCTTCTTGCTTTTGACGATAGAGATTTGAGAAGAAGAAGAAGAAAGGAAATCTCCCTTAAAAGTACAGGGAATGGGATTGTGGTAAAGGGTGTGTGGCTGCAATAAGACTCCCTTACTAAAACCTACTTAAAATCAAACAAGTATACAACCAATATTCATAACTTCAAGTACAAAAATGATACATGCATACAAATAGGCGGAATAACCCTTACAGAGATATTTTACATGTCATGTGTAGTATAAAAAATATTCCGGTTATGTCCCAAGCTGTCAGGGAAAGCAGGGGCAGAAGTCATCTTGGCACATCAGTTGGCAACCCCAAAGGGGTTTCTCTGATCCAACCCATCACAGTGTTCTTAAAACGAACAACATGGGTCATCATCCGAGACTGCTATAACATGAAATATATGGCAGAATGCGGGTAAAACACAGAGTAGGAGACATACAATTCTCCCCCAAGGACTTCAGTCACAAATTTAATTAACAAATTAATTTTTTTAACCGGCATCAGCAGCATGGAAGCATGTCCTCTGGAATGGCGACCGAAGCATGAAGGGGCATATGAACGTTTAGCATATCTGGCATGTAACTACCTTGCAATGCCAGCTACAAAAGTGCTATGCAAACGACTGTTCTCACTTTCAGGTGACATTGTAAATAAGAAGCGGGTAGCATTATTTCCCGTAAATGTAGGTAGCGATTGGCTGAACAAGAAATAGGACTTAGAGGACTTGTAGGCTCTAAAGTTTTACATTGTTTTGTTTTTGAGTGCGGTTATGTAACAAAAAAAAAAATCTACATTTGTAAGTTGCGCTTTCATGATGAAGAGATTGCACTACGGTACTTGTACGAGGTGACTTGAAAAATACTTTTTCTTTTATCATTTTTACACTGCAAATATTTGTAATAAAAATAATATAAAGTAAGGGTGGCAATATCATGACCCCCCCCACACACAATAACATTGTGACCCTCCCACAACCCCCTTTTGGGTCAGGACACCTGCAGTTACAACACCGTGAAATTTCAGATTTAAATATCTGAAATCATGAGACTGATTTTGCTCCCAATGGCAAAATTCAGTTTGACTCTAGAGGAGCATGTTCAAACCCATATACACATTGTAGTTCTAAGAACCCAGAAAAGTAACTGATATCATGTTGTGTAGTGTGGGATTTTCCGGGCAGGATTAACTCACATGATTTGGTAGCAAACCACTGCTTAACAGGATGGCTGCCCCTGTAAGGGCCTGGAAGCCCTATTTCATTATCAGACCCTGGTGGTACTGGATCAGGTGTTTTCTATAATAGGGTCAGAGAGCTCAGCTGGAGGGCTGCTGTCAGGGGAGTTTGGTTCTTGTGAGTGGTCAGGGAGTAGCGAAAGGTTTCTGAGCCCAAGTAGGTCAGGGAATAGCTTTATTTTGTGTTTCTTTGCTAGGTTTTTGTTTGATTGTTTGAATGAATAAACCATATCCTGAGGAAAGGGCTTGAAAGAGACATGCAGTGTAATGTTAGTCTTCTGTAGGCTCAGGGGAGACAAGCCAGAAGCTCTATGCATTTTGTTGAACTAGGTTAAACAAAACTATTTTAAACAGATCCTAACCTCTTACATCATCCCAATGTGGTTCAGTCACATTTCTGTAACACAATAGTAAAACTGGTTTTTAAAAGTTACAATGTGTATGTCAGCCATTTTCATCTCTGCTAAAGTGTGGCTTTCCTTAATGCAGTTTAAGAGCACTGGTTGGTAAAGCTAAAATCACTGCTGGGAGCAGCTTGGTATTACTATTAACTCCCCTCATGTAACTTTGTAATTAGTGTTTAAATATATCCCACATAAACACAGGTCTGAAAATTATCATCCTGGCAGCTCATCAGACCAACTAGCGTCCAGGTCTTATGTATGTCTGTTGTAATACATTCAGATTCCTCAATGCAATAATCATCTGTTTCTGAGAGCTTTTTTTTTTTAATTTTAGCCACTGAATTAGTCTCTGAAAATGTTCATGAAACTTTAATAAGGAGTCATAATTTTTCATATTTTGTAAGTGACTCAGAATTTTCCTAAA